AAGGAGGAGGAGGAGGAGGAGAAGGAGGAGGAGGAGGAGGAGGAGAAGGAGAAGGAGAAGGAGAAGGAGGATAAGAAGAAGAAGAAGACATGGCACAGTTTTGCTGTTGATAAGAAACACGCTACATCATGAACATACCCCATTTCCTCGAACAGTCGACCAGGTTAGACTCGGAAAGGCTGACCAGTTTTCCAGTAGAATTGAAATGTTGACCCTCGAGACTTCCAGTGGTAGAGAAAGCCCAGCAAGATCCACACGCTCCTTGGTCCTTGACCGCTTTACAAAACAGTGACACGGTCATGTATGTGTTGTTGAATGAACCGGAATTTAAAAGCTAAATCAATTAAGTCTTGAGAGAAGAGTTGTGGGATTGGTAGTGCGAATGCGGTGATAAGTATTGAATCAGGTACTTGGTTCTATTTTTTTGGTAGTAAAGTTGTTCCCGCATCCGATCCAGACATTGGTGATTGCCTTGTTAGTGAGACAACTTCATAGGCCTTCGGCATATTGTGCCGTAGGGTGGCCAGTTCCTTTTCACGCCGCCTTTACTTTCCCAACTCGAAGTCAGGTACCCATTACTGCTGGGTAGGCACGAGGGAGGCTCGAACCTGGACTTTCCGCTTTTTAGTGGAGGTGTGAATATAACATGCATAGAAGTTCAAAAACACACACACACTGACACACATACACGCATCGTTACACACACACAAATGGAACCCACACAGAGTACATACACACACATATCCACACACATCCACACACACACACACACACACACACACACACACACACACACACACACACACACACACACACACTCTCTCTCTCTCTCTCACACTTATATATATATATATATTAATATATAGAATCCAAATATATATATATGTGTGTGTGTTATTGTATCGTTCTTACGTGTGACGTATCCTTTTTCCCTCCAGTCCACGGAGTCGGGCAGGTAAGCCTTGTACTGGCCACTCACGTATTTGCCTGGCTCTTTGTGTACGTTCAAGCCGTTCATTATCCTGTTGAACTCATCGGTGGTCTAGGGATGAGGACAGAAAACCGTTAGAGCTCTTTTGTTTAGTTCAACGCTCTACGAGATATGATGTATGTTTTGTTATTTGGAGATTATGCATGACTTCGTATTCTGTGAGTGTTCCGGGAAAGACATAAGGCCATTTAATTGATTTAGGCTGGACGAGAAAACATTTAAAGAGAGAATTTTCAAGATTTTGAGCTCCAACCTTTACCATGTTCTTCATCTATTATCTATTTGCCAGTCTGCTGCGACTTCGCGAAAATGACAACGTTGACAGTACAGTGGCTTACTTCATAGTACTATTTTCAAAAGCCTTTCCCGTTTATACCTTAAGGATTACAGTTAAGAGAAGTAAAACGAACAAGGTGTGCAAAGATGAGTGGAAAAGGGTTGTGGGGGATCTATACTTAATACTTATTACGATGAAGAGATAACTGACTGTGAGCAAGTCTTTGGTCTAACCATATCAGCGTATTTGTTCTCTCCCAGGTAGTAGCTCTTGATTCCTCGGGCATACAGTTCATTGTGTTCCTCAATCTTTTTCAGGTTGGACTGCCACACGAAGCGACGGATGATGTCTTCATCTCCACTGTACAGGGAATGAGGGGCAGAAGGAGTTTTTCAATCAGTGAGTGGAAAAGCGAGTGTATGAATTAATAAGTCAGCGCTTACATTTTTTGTGCTTGTTTAACCAAACGAACGGATATTAAGTGAGAGAGAGAAAAGAAAAAAAAAGAGAGAAAGAGAGAGAGAGAGAGAGAGAGAGAGAGAGAGAGAGAGAGAGAGAGAGAGAGGGGGGGGTGGGGTGAAAGCAGGTAACACAGAAAATGATGACACTAAGATAGAGAGAAGACAGGAAAGCGTATGTTACTGATATTTTAACTTGCAAAACTTAAAGGCAAGAATAAGTAAGCAGATGGGGTTAAATACATTTGTATGTTGGAACAGGTGTTTCTAAGAAGAAAAATAAAAGACTTTTTTTTCATTTTTACAGCGTACCTGTATGCTTTGTTATACTTAGCTTTGAAGATGAGCCAGCTCGTGTCTGTGTTGGCCGAAGCCACGGTAAGAGCGAGGGCACATACTGCGAGCTTGATCATCTGAAGACAACAGGCACAACTTGCTTAATTTTATCATTCTAAATTCTCAGTTATAAACAAAACAGGGGGAGGGGGGCTCTTGTGGCCTAGAGGTTAAGGTGTTCGACTCTCATTAAAAGGTCCCCGGTTCGAATGCGGATAGCTACGGAAAAATGTTCTTATCTAAATTTGTCTCTTTTCACCTCCTTTCCTGCTCTCTAACAATATATTATTCGGTCGTCTGCTTTCGTCTCCGAGTTCTGCTCCCCACACCGTCACATCCTTTGCCCCCTCCTCTGGGCTCCTGACTCTTTCTGCAGCCTTTCTACTATTTCTCCTTGGCTACTTGTAACTGCTGTCTTTCAGCCTTGCCCCTGGTCTTCTGGTAGGAAAGATCTACACCTAGCCTCCTCGGACAAGGGCGAAAAAATCTTGGAGGTCCTGTGTGCAAGTTATGCACGCTGAAGAACTCTTCGTGGTCTAGAATCGATACAAAGAGGATTCGGCCACAACCCGGACAAAATTCAAAATTTCCTACAAACTGAAAATGTTTAATGTGTCCTGCGTGCTCATATGACCTTACGGAGTTACGAGCGCCATAAAAAAAAATAATTCAACAGTGAACGAGACGTATCCATTCAAGTTCTAGAATGCACGTTCTCTTATAGTTTTACAGTAGCGTTTATTTCTCTAAAATAACTTATTAAATTTCGTCTGAAGTTAAGTGTACATGAAAATAAAAGCTGTATGATTTCGAAAATGGCGTGAGAAGCTATCAAACTTACTTTCTCACCTCCCTTTTAACAATGTAACAAAATTATTGTCAAATTAATGGCAGCTTCTGGAGTGTGAATAAGTAAGCAAACGTAACATTATTGGGCGTTGTCGTTTTTTTTATTGTCAAGCAATTTCGTCAGGGTTTCTAATTTGAGAATTGATTTTGTGAACAATGTTGAAGAATAAGGACAGCTCAGTGATAGCCTCCGTTGCTAAACCGACTGGATACATTGGCGAAACCAGTTGAGACTGGGTTTTCTTTGAGGGATATCTGAATACACAGTTCTTGTTTCTGCACGGTAAAACAAAATCCTTTTAAAGAAGATTCTTTGCCGAATGAGATAGGAGGCAGGAAAAAATGTATTGTTATACCTGACAGTATAATATTATGTAGCCTACTTTTACTTATAGTGTCCAACACACAGAGAGGAGACACAAAGGCATACCTTGTCTTGTGATGTCTCCTGGAAAAGGTGAAATGACCAATGTTTGTTATACTTATAATTTATACTTTTTGGTGGTTTGTCTATATAACACTCTCAGATAAATCTACCTCGACTTCAACATCACGTGAACATTCAAACCGTTCTCTTTTCTGACCGTTCCCTTTATTATCTAAAATTTTGCACCCAAAATCACAAGCACCATCACCATGTCAGTCGTCTTATAGTAGAGTAGGCCTCCTTCCCCCCTCTCTCTTTCTCTCTTTCTCTCTCTTTCTCTCTCTTTCTCTCTCTCTCTCTCTCTCTCTCTCTCTCTCTCTCTCTCTCTCTCTCTCTCTATTTCCCCTCCTCCTCTCTCACCCCTTTCTCTCCCTTTCTTAACCTTTCATACCCTTTCTCTCCAACATACACACATACATCCGTATTTTATATAACTCTTTCTGTAACTCTAGATCTATAGGTAACTTTTATCTATCAAAGACTTGCTAGGGGGCTCTCGTGGCCTAGAGGTTAAGGTGTTGGCCTCTCATTCAAAGGTCCCGGGCTCGAATCCAGGTTGCGACCGAAATATTTTCTTCTCTAAAATTGTGTCCTTTCACCTCTTTTCCTGCTCTCTGGCAATGTTCTGTCGTCTGCTTTCGTCTCCTCTTTCTGCCCCCACCCCCTCGCATCCTTTGCTCCTGAATCTTTCTGCAGCCTCCCTACTGCTACTCTTTGGCTCCTTCTTACTGCTGTCTTTCAGCGATACCCCTGATCTTCTCGTAGGAACGATCTACACCTTGCCTTTTCGGACAAGGGCGAAAAAATCTCTGAGGGCCCGTGTGCAAGTTGCGTACGTTAAAGATCCCTTGGTGGTCTAAAATCGATAAGAGTAGGCTTCAGCCGCCACCCGGGCAACATTCAAAATGTCCTACCAACTGAAAAAGCTCATATGACCTTTTGCAGTTGCGAGCCCAGTAAAACACTTACAATAAAAACCCAAACCAAACAAAACAAAACGTCCGAAGTGCATGTAATCAGAGGACTCGATGACAGTGAAAGAGCAACGTTATGTGCGTATAGATGAAAAAGCATAACGACGTGTCATTTAGAAATGAATGTCTATTGTGAATTGTGCCCTCAATAATTACAAACAAAAACAAATTATATATTTTCTTCTATTTATTTATTTATTTTAAAATTGTTCTTATATTTTATGTATTTGTTTGTTTATTTCTTTCTTTCTTTCTTTATTTGTTGTTGTTTTTGTTGGGGGGTGGGGGGTGGGGGGGGGGGGTTGGTCACACTTTAAAGTTGGCTGGCTTACTTGTGTGTCTGATAAAGCGAAAGCACCCAGTTGAACGTCAATCAACGCCCCTCCCTCCCCATTCCACCAACCCCCCTCTCACCATCCCTCTCACCCCCCTCGCTTTCTCTCTCTTTACTTTGTTTCTTTCGCTCACGTTCTCTCATTAAAACTTTTCCATACACTTTCTGGTGGCGTTGGGAACCTAGTGGTATATGCTACCAGACTGGCAATCGTGAGATTGCGGGTTCGGGGATTTGAGCCTCAGCTCTGCCCGGCATTGTGTCCTTGAGGACAGGCACTTTTCACGAATATCCCACTTAGTTCGTTCGTTTCGAGGATGGACATTGTGTTAATAAAGGCGTTATACCTTTACCCTAAAAAAATTCATTATTTTGTTACACACGCACTCCCTCTCTTAATTTCACTCCTCCCTATCCCCCTCTTCTCTCTTTCTTTTTCTCTCTCTCTCTCTGTCTCTCTCGTTCTCTCTCTCTCCCCTAGTCTCTCTCTCTCTCTTTCTCTCTCTCTCTCTCTCTCTCTCTCTCTCTCTCTCTCTCTCTCTCTCTCTTTAGACTTTCTTTCTATCACGTTCTCTCATTTATTGTCTCTCACACTCTTCCTCTTTCTTTCTCTTCACCCACTCTCTATTTCTCTCTCTCTCACACTCCTTCTCTTTCTCTTTCTCTATCTCTCTCTCCCTCCCCCCTCTCTCTCTCGCTCTCCCTCTCTCCCTTCCCCTTAACTTGAACGTGTTAGAGTTATTTCCACCACGCTTACATTACAGAAAAATCATTTTGAAAATTAACCTATTTAAAGTTCTTCCTCAAAAATCAAGCTCTTCGTACCCTTTCCTCAAGTGGAATGTTTGACCTTAGCGCAGTAAATGGTAATTGGAAGGTGTATTCATTTTTCTGTTGAAGTCGTCATTGTGGAAGGAGGAAAGAGATAGGGAGCATAGAAGAGGGGTGAAGAGTTGAAATGTTGCAGCTTTCATGAACTGGAAACAGAATCTTAAATTCAGAATAGGATTGAAAAGCAGAATACCCACTCCTTGGCTGACTAGGAAAAGCCTATTGTGTTTGCATGACTGCAATACCATCCTGGGATCCGAGGTTATAGTGAGGTTGATCTTCTGGCGAAATAATCCGTGTATCTCCTGTTGGGATCAACAGACAGACTTTAAAAGTAAGGTCAAGCGCTATATATCTCTAGTCTATGGGAAAACACTGGAGCCAACAAATGAAAAATAAACTCGACCATGTCTGACCCAGCTGGTATCACGAAAAACCTCTTGTTCTCTCAACGAGAGGCGATATTATTCTCGAATTGGATACAGCTAATATATTAAACCCCAGCACAGAGATGAAATACTCTTTTGTGTCGGATGCTATGCGACCTAAAGATTACAGACATCCTAATTTTGACTGCTCAAACATCACAAGACGGTCACTGAAATGGAACCCACAGGGAGCGCGAGGCAGGGGTAGGCCACGACAGACATGGAGGAGATGTGTGGAAAGGGACATGAGAAATATGAAGCTCCCTTGGAACGAGCTAGGAAGGATGGCCCAGGATAGAGATAAATGGAAGGAGCTTGTATGTGGCCTATACCCTGCCTGGGGTGAAAGGCATTGATGATGATGGATTTTGACACTTTAATTTGTATTTTGTTGATGGCACGTACATGTACTTCTCATTCAATAACCGTGCCTATCTAACTGACGCCATTTGATAAGTTTTAAAACGATGCACATGATAATGTTAACTATTTGCATCCATATATTCATTGTAACGTGTTATGATTTTACAGTTATAAGTGTACTTACATATACACTTGTCTAGGAGCTGAGAGCAATGATGATTTTGAAGACGATGGGAATAATGGGAGGTGATAGAGATGATGATTATGTGAATTTAAACAAAAAACTAATTAAAAAAAATATATATATAAAGAAAGAGAGAGAGAGGGAGAGAGAGAGAGAGAGAGAGAGAGAGAAAGAGAGAGAGAGAGAGAGAGAGAGAGAGAGAGAGAGAGAGAGAGAGAGAGAGAGAGAGAGAGAGAGAGAGAGAGAGAGAGAGAGAGAGAGAGAGAAATGTAGAGGAAGAGAGGAAACATTTTTGAAGATGCTGATTGTGGTGATGGGGGCATAGTAGTCTGGACAAAAAAGGGGACGGCTGGGAAAGACAACAATTTGAGCACTCACGTAGTGATAGATCTAGTGTCAAAATAAAAGCACAAACATTTCTTATCAATAAAACTCGTAACACATTTTAAAGAGGCCTACCAACAAATATAACAAGCAAGCTTTACATTGATCATTTCACCTTTTGCTAAGACATCGCAAGACAAGGTATGCCTTTATTCATGTGTTTGTTCTGTTTGTTCTTCAGAAAGCTTGTATACCACGACATTTTAATGGCGACGGAAAAATGAGCTCGGGGGGCAACACAATTTTCAACAGCTTTCTCACTCAAGGACTAGAGAATGTCATCGAGATATCTACTGTTAATAT